ACGCGTCTCGAAAACGCTACCCGAGTTTGTGGGGCGGCCGGTCTTCAGCCAGTTTCCGGCCATCAGACCCCCCTGAGGCCCAAAGCGCTCTTTAGAGCTCGGAGGTCGCCGTAACTGACCGAGGGAAGAGGGGCGGCGGGGAGCAGGGGTGCTGGCTCGCTAGGGGAAAGCGCGTCTTCTCAGGATTTGGCTTCTCTCGCTTCTTATCTCTTGGTTTTTTTCGAAGAGGTGGTGAAGAAGCCAAAGTACTTGCAGAAGATTACACCCGTCTCATCTTGTTATCCACTTCACTTGGGGAATTAACGCTTATTACACCTTAAAAAATAAAACAACTTTTGGTGCTTCCGGAAAGTTTGTTTTGTATTTCAGTGGTAACTTATTACCTGCTGCTTGAAATTGACCTTCAGAGGAGTTGCTGGAGAGAGAAACAGTAGTATCTAATCAAGCAAAATAAGCTCAGCCAATGAATGTCTCACCCATGGAAACTTATTTGTTATGTCACAGCGCTTAGGATAAGTGTTTCCTCCTATTCAACGATTAAAGTACATCAAGGAATACACTACTGTTTTCTTTCTATAAACGTGAATGATTTAATCACTGAGACATTTCAGATTTTTTTGTGTAGTGAGAAAATCCACATATAATTTGCTCTAATTGACAAATAAAACATTATTTACTAAACAGTTCAAATCACTTTACAAAAATGTACAGGGTGCTTTAGTAGTTTATTTAATTCATACAATAGATGTAATAACTAGGGTTAAAAACCAAGGTTTAAATTCTGGCTCTACCACTTACCTTGGTATTCTCCACCACCACCCCTCCCCACCCTCTCCTGCAAGCCAAAGCCATTTAAACTTTGCTGAGCCACTGTTTCCCCATTTCATAATGAAGTAATAAATCTATCCAGAATTTTTAAAATTTAATTGAAGTATAATTGACACACAATGTTTCATTAGTTTCAGGTGTAGAACAGTGATTTGACAACTCTCTTCATTATGCTATGCTCACCACAAGTGTGGCTGCTATCTGTCACCATACAATGCTATCACAGTACCGTTGACTCTATTCCTCGCTGTACCTGTTATCCCAGAGACTTATTCATGCCATAGGTGGAATCTTGTACCTACTACGACCCTTCATCCATTGTGCCCATCCCCCCACCCTCCTTCCCTCTGGCAACCGTAAGTTCTCTGTATATGGGTCTCTTTCCGGTTTTGTTTGTTCCTTCATTTATTTTTTCGATTTCACTTATAAGTGAAATCATATTGTATTTGTCACTCTTTGATTTATTTCACATAGCATAATATTCTTTAGGCCCATCCGAGTTGCAAAGGGCAAGGTCTCATTCTTTTTTAGAGAGGAGTAATATTACATTACTGAATGATATTCTGCATGTTCTTTTTTTTTATAACTTTTTAGTGTTATTTATTTTTGAGAGAGAGAGAGATGGAGTGTGAGCAGAAGAGGGACAGAGACAGAGAGAGGGGGAGACACAGAATCTGAAGCAGGCTCCAGGCTCTGAGCGGTTAGCACAGAGCCTGGCGCGGGGCTCGAACTCACAAACCGTGAGATCATGACCTGAGCCGAAGTTGGATGCTTAACCGACTGAGCCACTCAGGTGCCCTTACATATTCTTTATACATTCATCCATTGATGAATATTTGGGTTGCTTCCATACCTTGGCTGTTGTAAATATTGCTGTAGTAAACATAGAGGTGCATATATCTTTTCAAATTAGTGTTTTCATTTTCTGCAGCTAAATATCAGGTAGCAGAATTACTAGATAGTATAGTGTTTCTATTTTTAATTTTTGAAGAACCTGCATACTGTTTTCCACAATGCCTGCACCAATTTACATTCCCACCAACAGTGCAGGAGAGTTCCTTTTTCTTCACTTCCTTGCCAACACTTTTATTTCTTGTGTTTTTGAAACTAGCCATTCTGAGGGGTGTGAAGTGATCTCCTTGTGGTTTTGATTTGCATTTCCTTGGTGATTATTCATTTTGAGGATCTTTTTATATGTCTGTTGGCCATCTGCGTGTTGTCTTTAAAAAAAATGTGAGTTCAGGTCCTCTGCCCATTTTTTAATCAGATTGTTTTTTGGTTATTGAAGTATGATTAACATACAATGTTATATTAGTTTCAGGTGTATAACATAATGATTCAACAGCTTTATACATTACTCAGTGCTCATCACAATCAGCATACTCACCATCTCTCACAAAACAATATTATCACAATATTATTGGCTGTATTCTTATGCTGTACTTTTTGTTTCCATGACTTATTTTATCACTGGAAGTTTGTACCTCTTAATTCCCTTTATTTCACTCATCTCCCTACTGTCCTCTGGAAACCATCAGTTTGTTCTTTGTATTTAAGGATCTGGTGTTTTGCTCATTCATTTGTTTTTTAGGTTCCACATGTAAGTGAAATCATATGGTGATTGTCTCTCTCTGACTTATTTCACTTAGCCTAATACCTTCTAGTTCCATTCATGTTGTTGCAAAGGGCAAGACTACATTCTTCTTTATGGCTGAGTAGTATTCAATTGTTTATATAAACCACCTCTTCTTTATCCATTCATCTGTCAATGAACAGTTGGGTTGCTTCCATATCTTGGCTATTATAAAATAATACTGCAATAAACATATGGGTGCATATATTTTTTGAATTCATGTTTTTGTTTTCTTTGGGCAAATACCCAGTAGTGGAATTACTGAATCATATGGTATTTCTGTTTTTAATTTTTGAGGAACCTGCATAGTGCTTTCCACAGTAGTTGCACCAATTTACATTCCTACCAACAGTGAATGAGGGATTCTTTTTCTCCACATCCTTGCCAACACTTGTTCGTGTCTTTTTGATTCTAGCCATTTATATATGTGTAAGGTAATAAATATCTCGTTGTGGTTTTGATTTGCATTTCCCTGATGATTAGTGATGTTGAGCATCTTTTCATGTGTCTGTTGGACATCTATATGTCTTTTTTGGAAAAATGTCTATTCAGATCATCTGCCCGTTTTTTAATTTATTTGTGGGTTTGATGTAGAGTTGTAGGAGTTCTTTATATATTTTGCATATTAACTCCTTGTCAGATATGTCAATTACAAAAAAAAAAAAAAGAGAAATCTTCTCCCATACAGTAGGTTGTCTTTTCATTTTGTTGATGGTTCTAATGCTGTGCAAAAGTTTTTTATTTTGGTGTAGTCTTAATAGTTGTGTTTTTTTTAATATTTTTTTTAAAAGTTTATTTATTAAATTTAAGAGAAAGAGAGTAAGCATGAGCAGCGGAGGGGCAGAGAGAGAGGGAAAGAGAGAATCCCAGGCAGGCTTTGCACTGTCAGCACAGAGCCCTGATGTGGGGTTCGAACTCTCAAAACCTCAAGATTATGACCTGAGCCAAAATCAAGAGTCAGATGCTTAAGCAACTGAGCCACCCAGGTGCCCCAGAGCTTTTTGATTACCAACTGAATTTTGTTACTAGTAATCAGCCTGTTCAGATTTTTTATTTCTTTCTGATTCAATCTTGGAAGATTGTATGTTTTTCTATGAATTTATTCTAGGTTGTCCAATTTGTTGGCATATAATTTCTCATAGCAGCCTCTTATAATTCGTTGTATTTTTGTAATGAAGCTTGTTATTTCTCTTTCATTTCTGATTTTATTGAGGCCTCTCCCTTTTTTTCTTGATGAATCTGGCTACAGGTTTATTAATTTTGTGTATCTTTTCGGAGGACTCACTGTTAGTTTCACTGATTTTTTTTTTTTCTTCTGTTTCATTTATTTCTGTTCTGATAGGATTTCCTTTCTTCTCTGGTTCCTTTAGGTGTAAGGTTAGATTGTTTGAGATTTTTCTTGTTTCTCAAGGCAGACCTATATCATTATAAACTTCCCTCTTAGAACTACTTTTGATACATCCCCAAAATTTTGAACCATGGTGTTTCCATTTTTATTTATCTCTTGGTTTTGATTTCCTATTTGATTTATGACTTATTGGTTGTTTAGTAACATGTTTTCAAATCTCCACATTTGTATTTTTTCCTTTTTTTTGTAATGATTTCTAGTTTCATATTCTTGTGTTCAGAAAAGATGCTTGATTTTATTTCAGTCTTCTTAAATTTATTGAGACTTGTTTAGTGGCCTAACATGATCAATCCTAGAGAATGTTCATATGCACTTGAAAAGAATGTATATTCTGCTGTTTGGGGATGGAGTGTTCTGTATATATCTGTTAAGTTCATATGGTCTAATGCATAATTCAAAGCCAGTCTCTGTGTTGATTTTCTGTCTGGATGATCTATCCATTGATGTAAGTGCGGTGTTGTTAAAGTTCCCAACTATGATCATAATAACTGTCAATTTCTGCCTTTATGTCTGTTCATATTCTTTTATATATATAAGTACTCCTATATTAGGTGCACAGATATTTACAATTGTTATATACTTTTGTTGTATTAATCACTTTATCATTACATAATGCCCTTCACTGTCTCTTGTTACAGTCCTTGTTTAAAGTCTATTTTGTCTGATATAAGTATTTCTACCCTAGCTTTTTTTTTCCCACTTCATTTGTGTGAATATCTTTTTCTACCCTTTACTTTCAGTTTGTGTCTTTAGGTATGGAGTGAGTTTCTTGTAGGCAGCATTTGGAGGGGTTTTTTTTTTTTCTTTTCTTTTTTTTTTTTTATATGCGTTTTGTCACCCTGTGTCTTACCTGGAGCATTTAGTCCATTTACATTTGAAGTAATTATTGATAGGTATGTACTTACTTTAATTTTCTTCATTGTTTTCTGGTTGTTTTTATTGTTCTCTATTCCTTTCTTCTTCTCTTGATCTCTTCCCTTGTGATGACTTTGTTTAATGTTCTCCTTTGTCTTTATATTTGTGTATCTGTTACAGGCTTTTGGTTTGTGGTTATGAAATTCATATACAACATCCTAAGTATATAGCAATCTATGATAAGTTGATGGCTGCTTAAGCTTGAACACATTTTAGAAGCATGACATTTTTACTCTTTCCCCCTTCACGTTTTATGTATATGATCACATTTTTCACCTTTTTATTTTGTGACTTCCTTAACTACTTTTTTTTTTTTACATATAATTGATTTTACCACTTTTGATGTTTAACCTTCATACTAGCTTTGTAAGTGAATGATTGACTACCTTTACTATATGTTTGCTTTTATTAGTGAAATTATATCCTTTTATAATTTTCTTCTAGTTATGGCCTTTTCCACTTAAAGAAGTCCCTTTAACTTTTCTTGTAAGGTTAGTGGTGATGAACTCCTTTAATTTTTGTTTGGGAGACTCTATCTTTCCTTCAATTGTGAATGATAACCTGACCGGATATAGTATTTTTGGTTGTATTTTTTTTTTCCTTTTAGTGCTTTGAATATATCATGCCACTCCCTCTGGCCTGCAAAGTTTCTGCTGAAAAATCAGGTGATAGATAGCCTTATGGGGTTTTCCTTGTATGTAACTAGTTGTTTTTCTCTTGTTATATTTGAAAGTCTCAATCTTTAGTTTTTGGTGTTTTAATTATTAGGGGTTTGATGTGGACCTTTTTGGGTTTATCTTATTTGGGATTCTCTCTCTGCTTCCTGGGCCTACTTCTCTGTTTTCTTACCCAGGTCGAGGAAGTTTTCAGCTATTATTTATTCAAATAAATTTTCTGCCCCTTTCTCTTCTCTTTCTGGGATTACTACACTGCAAATGTTCGTATGTTTGATATTGTCCCAGAATTCTCTTAAGATTTCCTCATTTTTAAGAATTCTATTCTCTTGTGGCGCCTGGGTGGCTCAGTCAGTTAAGCGCCAAATTCGGCTCAGGTCACAATCTTGTGGTTCGTGAGTTCAAGCCCTGCATGGGCTCTGTGCTGACTTCTCCGAGCCTGGAACTTGCTTCAGATTCTGTAACTCTCTCTGCCCCTCTCCTGCCTGCTCGCTCGCTTGCTTGCTCTCTCTCTCTCTCTCTCTCCCTGCCCCTCCCCCACTTGTGCTCTGTCTCTTAAAAATAAATAAACGTTAAAAAAAATTTTTTTTTAATTCTTTTCTCTTTTTGCTGTTCAGCTTGGGTACTTTTTGTTACCCTGTCTTCCAGATCACGGAATCTCTTATTGTTTCCCTATATCTGTTACTGTTTTCCTCTAGTGTATTTTTCATTTCAGTTATTATATTCTTCACCTCTGGTTGGTTCTTTTGAATGTTTTTATCCCTTTCTTGAAACTCACTTGATTTATTCCCTCTTTTCTGCAGCCTGGTGAGCATCTTTTTGACCATTCTTTGAACTCTTTATGAAATAGGTTTCTTATCTTCATTTCATTTAGTTCTTTCTGTGGTTTTGTTTTCATTTAAACAAATATTCCTCTCATTGAAACCATATTCCTCTGTCTTCTCATGTTGTTTCATTTTCTGTGTATGTTTCTATGAATTAGGTGAAACAGCAATCTATCCCAGTCTTGAAGGAATGGTGTTGTACAGGAACCATCCATGTGTAGACTGCATGTGCCTGGTGACTTTGGCTGGCTGGCTGGAGCTGGAGTGGGCACAGACTGGGAGTTTTGTAGCATGCTGCATCGGGGCCACCCCAGTGGGATGCCTAGAGCTGAAGTAGGCCTGGGCTGGCAGTACCCTGGATTCTCAACACCAGGTCATCAAGTGTCAGAAATTTTTAAGCTTGCTTTTTAGTTCTGCTTACTCCAAAAATCATTTTGGAAAAATGCAGAGAAAGTACGATAGGTCGTTCTTTTTAAAGTACAGACCAGATCAAAGATGACAGGTGATATATCTATGAGCACTTACTCCCTCTCAAACCCATAATTGACTAATGATAATCTATTTTTGAGAATTCTGAATCTTGAGTTCTCCCAGTTCTAATTTCTAAGGTCTCATCTTTATATGCAATGCCATTTTATTGTCCAGGATTTAGTCTTCAGCATTGATCCAGTCAGAAATGACAAAATGGAGGTATCATTCAAAATATGGCTTCTTTGCTATACCTTTAGAAGGGATAATGTAATGGGGCAGTTTACCTGAGGACAATATTAAAGCAGGTCTTGGTTAATGACTTGAGTTTGCTTAATTAAAAATTTGTTCTGGGGGCGCCTGGGTGGCTCAGTCGGTTGGGCTTCCGACTTC